TTATAAAACTTATTAATAATGCATAAGCTATTGCTCCAATAAGGGCTGACCATTTAATCAGGTGATTGACCTTGTAAATCTGATACAACCACTAGTGGTTGTATCAGATTTACAACACGGTCGTCACCATTGAGACAACCCAACACTAGCAAAGGTCTCAGTTTTAGTGTCGCATCATAGACCTTCACTAGGTTTTGAAGCAATCAAAGACGGATAACAGAACTCGCTTATGCAACAGATGGCTTGCTTTCCATGTGGGATGGATAATTATTCAAAATGTTCTGTGTTGCAGTAAATTGCGCATGCTTAATAGGGACTAAACTCAGCAGTTACCTTATTTGTCATTTTTCGTAATTTATCTCACTGTAATTCATGTTAATTTGTGTTGGAGTTTTATAAGTCGTTTACAACATTTGCGTCCGTGTTGTATGGGAATTACAATCTCTCGCCTGCGGCTGACTAGTAAGCTATGTATGGTATTAATGAAGATAGATATTACCTATTTTGATACCGGTCTTGTTCTTTCTGATATTGCTCTGTCAATTCTTGTTGCTTTTGCTTTTCAGCCAAGAGTTTTTGCTCTGCGATCCATACCTAAGAAGATACAAACACAACTGTAAGATAAAATCCACAAATCCTTTTGTGGTTCATCGTGAAAACATGGACACAAACAACCTTCAAATCACTATTTTCTCGAGCGTTTTCACCTTTTTTATGTTGGCATTGGATCCAGGATGGAAGTCTTTCTTGTTCATAAACTTTGCAAACATATTGGCAACGTCTCAAATCGCACAAAACACAAACCTTAATAAACCACCAACATTGGTCTCGTTGGCATAATATTAGCATAATACTTCATGTGTCGATATCTTTGTGTCTTTCCAAAGGGACCCCAAACATCTGCTGGGAAAAACATTGCTGTTTTGCAGATACAATCAGAATTTTGTCCACTAGATGAATTTGAACTAAGCCAAAGTAAGAAAATATTGTTTCAATTTTGTTCAAAGTTAAGATAAATTCTTTAACAGTCAGAAATATATTCAAAGTATCAAGAATCTGGGTTTCCTGTGGAGCCTTAAAGAATAAAATTCCGCTGCCCGATAATAGTGCGGGCAGTTATCATCAAAAATTTAGACCTCAGCAATTTTATCAATTTTTAGAAAAATATGTCGATTTTTACGCCAACTAATCAAGTAAAGCTTACCAACGTTGCCGTTGTAAGGCTTAAATCATGTGGAAAGCGTTTTGAAATCGCTTGTTATAAAAATAAGGTGATGTCGTGGCGGAATAATGTGTGAGTATTAAAAACTGTCAACACATTGAATGAAGCAATTTAAAATCCTTTTCGAGCTCATTATGGAGTAGAGAGAGCTCCAATAACATATTTAGAACTAGATACTTTAATTTTCCAACAGGGAAAAAGATTTAGATGAAGTTCTCCAGACAGATACAATATTTACAAATGTTTCCAAAGGACAAGTTGCAAAGAATGAAGATTTGAAAAAAGCTTTTGGAACTGAAAATAAAACAGAAATTTGTACAAAGGTATACTCTCTCACACACACACCTGTTTATGTTTAACAAAAGACAACAGTGTGGCACCCAATGTATATCCTAGCTCAACCTTTGATCAACTTTGCAACATCTCTGCATTGTATCTCACTATTCAATGACTTTATCAAATGTTCCGGACAATGATAGAAATCGAAAGCAACATTATGGAAGAGCAAGATGGAGTGACAGTTCTTACGGTTCATTTGTGCCAGTTAACCAAAAATATGATGATTGGTATAATCCCTGATTTTAGATTGGTTGGTTTTATTTTCATGACCTGCTTCATAACTGTCACACATTTTCATGAAAGTGGGTTTCTATTCACAGCCGTTAATGTGTAGTAATAGTCACATATTCATAATTTCTGACTTTTTATTTTGGCAGATATTGTCTAAAGGTGAGTTACAAGTTTCAGAAAAAGAAAGAAATCAACAGTTAGAGTCATCATTCAGAGAAATTGCCACAGTAGTTGCAGACAAGTGTGTAAACCCAGAAACTAAAAGACCATATCCTGTTGGGGTGATAGAACGTGCTATGAAAGATATCCATTACTCTGTTATACCAACTAGAAGTACAAAACAACAGGTAAGGACGACAGGAAAAAATGTCACGCCATCATCACTGACAAACAAATATCAGCATCAACATGATAGCAATTGGTCCTGATGTCTCTAAAATTCAATATCTGAGGTGGATATGGGTATCTGCTACCAAACTGACTCTTATTGTATCATATATAATATTTGATAGCACTAAGTGTAAAATCACCACTTTCTCCACCCACTCCCCCTCTCCCTCCCCCCCCCTCCCCCTCCCCTCTCACTTCCCATCATTTTTCTTTCCAATAGTGGTATAATTGAATTCTTTGCTTTAGACTAATCAATCAGAATATATCTTTTGTTAAGGCTTTAGAGGTCATCAGACAGTTGAAGGAAACTATGCCAATTGAAAGAGCTCAAATGAGATTGAAACTTATTCTTCCAAGTAAAGATGCCAAGAGAATCAAAGAAAAGTTGAAGCCATTGTTGAGTACCATTGATTCTGAAGACTGGGATATGGATCTTGAAATAGTGAGAACTACTAGATTGTTTTCAATCTCATTTCCGATTCATTTTTTTTATTCCTTCATTTTGTTCATCCATCCATACATTCATTTTTTAACTCATTCATTGATCCATTAGTGTTGCTTTTTCGTTTTGTGCCTACATGTATTTGAAATTTGTATCACTCTTATTTTTGTTTGTCTTCATTCAGACATGTTTTCATTTTATTTCTTTATTTTACTTTTCATTTTATCTAACCATTCTTTTATTTCTGATTATTCATTTTTTGTTTTGCTCTTTATGTGAATTAGAGGATTCTTATTAATACATTTTAAGATAAAGTGGTGTTAAAACACGACGTATATTTATTTATTAGTTACAGATTGGTAGTTGTTTTGTTAAATTTTGTGTTGTTTTTCAGTGATTTTTTGTTAATTTTAAGGTATGTCTTGTTGATCCTGGTAGCTATCGAGATATTGATGAGGTAATACGTGTTGAAACAAAAGGACGAGGTTCTTTAGAAGTCTTAAATCTAAAGGACATTCATGATGCTGACGGCTAGATGATTCAGAACAAGAAAGATGCAAAGCCACGGAACATTGTTGCCATTTGAGTCGATGTTTCTCGTTGTTCACCTTGCTGAGCACTGGCAAAAATAGGTCATGAAACAAAAAACAGAAACACCGACGTTAAATTTGAACGGGTATCGTTTGAATGCGACGTGCAAAAGTCTTGTTTGTTACTATGAAAAGTATGGTTCATTTAATATTAATTAGCATATCAATAAAAAGAAAAACTTCTGTGCTTGTAAGATCGAGGGTTTTCTGTTTTTATGGTGCCCTTTTGAAATGTTTCCCTGTTCTCGATGTACATATTAATTTCTGAAAAACACAGCACTATTTTTTTTACAGTAAAAACGAAGTGTATACATGTGTGTTTTTTTTTATCTTTATTTTTACTCAAACTCACAATATGTTTACAATTTCGAGGAAGGAAATACACAATAATTAATACATAGACGAATACATACAAACTTTGTTTACATTTTTGAGGGAAAGCAACATAATTGCTAACCTCTACAATTTTTTAAGATTAATTATATAGCCACATATTAATCCCAAATAGGTAAAAGCTGGATTTTTCGTTAATTTTGGAATCCTGTCCAATTAAGAAATTAATTGGACAGGTTTTCAATTAGGTTTTACCTATGTTATTGTTAAAAGCTGTGGTTGGCTTTTACCTATTTGGGATCAATATGTGGCTATATAATTAATAGGTAATAAGACTCCATGCTGTCCAATTAAGAAATAATTAGACTCGAAAAATTCCTCTGACTGCCAAATTGGACTCGGCCACGGCCTCGTCCAATTTTTGGCAGTCCTCGGAATTTTCCTCGCCCAATTATTTCTTAATTGGACAGCATGGAGTCCTATTACATATAATAATACTAGTGTTGCTAACGCCTAATTTACTATTAACTTGAAAAGCAAATAAATAGCGAAATAAACTGAAAACAAATATCGAAATTTTGAACTTTTTATGCTCCATTTAATCATTTACATTTGTTTTTTTAACTCATTCTCTTGGTCATATACACGCACCCCACCCACCCACCCACAAGGGATACAAATCCCTCTATTCGTTCTTATAGTATTCGTTGACGTTTTTTATCAACCGAATAATCTCTATATTGAATTATTGTTACGATGAATTTGTTTATTCGGTTTCACTAAATTGCGGGGCGGACTTCAACCTGGTCGGCACACGCTTGGAGTACGAAACAAAATGGTCGGTTCTTGGTTTGATCACAGGTAGCTCGAGTTAAGCATTTGAGTTGTTTTTATCGACATAAGTAAATATATAGAATGAAATGGTAAAAATATCTACCTTTTTTTTGCGTTTTCTGTATATTTCTGAGAAGTTTTTATAACCTTCAAAGGCGGGAAGGTCCGGCTCACGGTAACCCGATCGTAGTCCCATGGTACCTGGAATGTCAATACATCATTCTTCTACTAATGATGATTACCACACAAAGAATACACACACACAATAATTATAAAAATGACAAATTGGCTCATGTTTCTTGTCAAAGGGATGCGCCAACCTGTTTCCCGTCATGGTAATACCGGCGGAGGCTTACATTGTATATTTGTTTGAGTAACCGGCTTTAACAGGTCACTGGTTAACAAAACAATTGACAAACAATAGATGATCTTCCGAAAAAAAATCTTTTCGAGATTTCTAAGATACAAAAAGATAAAGTTTATTAACTTTCATTTAGAGTGTTTGTCATAAATATGCAAAGGAACGACGGAGCTCACGGTTGGCCCCCTCTCCCCTATCACAAGTTATAAGAGATTTTACTATTTCTTCTGATAGTATTCAACTTGTTCAAACCAATCAACCCCATCAATCTTTCTTTAGAACACATTACCGCGGGGATGAACCGCCAAAGCAAATTTTCATTACTTATTGAAGGTATCGAGTATATATATAACGACTGTCCAACCATGCATCTACACAAAGAACCAGAACGTTGATCAAACTACATATCAAAGGTAAGTAAATACAAGCTCNAGTCTTAATTCGTAGTGTAAACTTATTATCCATTGTTTTTTATATCAATTAGGAAAGATGAACTCGCTTGTTTTTGCTGTTTTGCTGTTGGTAGTTGTTGCTACAGTTCAAGGTGAGCTCTTGTCCTATCTATGTTACAGAGAGTAGCAATGAACTGATAATTATCGATAAATATTTCCAGAATAATTATTTGGTTTTTCCTTCCTTAATTTAAATTCCAGTCGAGTCAATCAGTTTTCATTGAATGCCAGATGTTTTTAGATTTCTTCCAAGTGAACTTACTTATTTTTCAGATTATGATCCCATTCAGATCTAACTTCTTCTTTTATTCACTCAAACATTAATTCGTTATATCTCTATTTGAACCTTAAAATTGGGACAGGGTAGACCACACCCTAATGTGAAAACACTGAAAAAAAGTTCGATTGTTTACGATGAATTCTCAAATCAAAGGATAAAAATACTTTTAGTAAAATTTTTTAGCCATTTTGTATATATCGACGCATGTCTATTATGAAATCAGTATTTTAAAGTCAAAGTGATAACCTCTTTCTCATTTTTCTCAGCATAATAGCTTTCCTCAGTCATTGATTCTCTCTCTAAAAATGAGAAGATTTATAAAAAAAATTCATCTTTACAGAGCTTTAAAGTGAAATATACACCTTACGGACTGTGCAATAATTACAAGGAGGGGGGGCCGTAAAATCAGATTTCTTAAGCAGAAAATTAGTCAGAACCCCCCCCCCCCCCCCCCTCATCTCACTGATCGATTCCCTTTTTAGAAGATAAAGGCACGATGTTTTGGGTCAACTCTCTATTAAGACGTCTACGTTTGGAACCGTAATTGGTGCATGTCCGCGGCACAACAGCGAGAGACCGCAAGCCGAGAAGTAACTATAACATATATCATATGCTTAGTTTCTGACCTAGTATTTTTTACTTTTTCAGTTCATGGTAGTAAAGTAGCATGTAAAGTTGAAGGTTCACAAGCTAAGTATTTGAGTGATAAAACTGCCAAGTCTGATGACTTTGAATATACCACTACAGTATCACAAGACAACTTATCCCGATGCAAGGAAACATGCTATAACTACTGCAAATGGGAGGGACCACGCGGACTCGGGGATCCATGGCCAGGCTGTAAGGCTTTTTCATCCTACGTGAAACCAGGTGGCACGTGTTACTGTTACGGGTGGAAGGATGTCCCCGAATGGTACGATGACAGTGAATACGATGGTGGATATTGTGAAAACTAAAACTCAAATAAAGTCATCTTGAAACGAATTTCTCGTGATTATGTGTTTATTTACATTACGCTCATGTTTGACAGCTTCTACCTGTGTTTGTGTTTTTGTTTCTTCAGTGCGACTTTTACTGTAAACATTACTCATAGAAATCAAGAGATCAATAATCTCATTCAAACCATGGAACTCGGTTCGTTACCCCGGTTATTTACCCTCTAGTCATAGAGTACTAGATTTTTAGATTGGAAGTTGTGTGATAGGTAATGGATTTCTTTGTGCGTGGTAGGTGATGGTGCTTGATTATTTCAAAGTCACTCGAGATATTTTTTTCATATTGACGACTACTAGTCTTCGTTTCTACTGAAGGTTCCTCACCAAAGAATCCTGAATATGATAAGGAGAGAGGACTAAGATTTGAATATTCCATAATAGCGTGTAGATGAGTAGAGCATAGGAGTAAATAAGAAAAAAAGGATGTTGGACTGCAGCCTTCTCTCCCATCTCCACCATCTATGTGCTCTTCTACGAACTCCACGACTATTCGGTAACTTGAAGTGAATCGGTGCTGAAACTTCACAGGAAGACAGTAAAATTTCAGTTCATTTTCAGTATTTTTTTGTTTTATCTAACTTTAGCAAAAAGGCCACTGTATATAGAGCTTGACTTAACTGTTATAGTTCCGGATAATTGCCGAATAAGTGATGGTTTTAAACATTGTATAAGAACATTAAGTGTTTGTTGTCTAACAGACTATTTTA